TGGAATCGTGGCCATCGATCGCGCGCGCGTGTGGTGAGACGCGAATCGCGTTTGTCCGTGAGCAACCCTCTGCGGAGATCGTGCGCGTCGATCGCGCGAACGTGTGGTGAAACGTACATTTTTGGTGTGCGCGGTGCGTTCCGCCATTATAATTCTGGTGACAAGGTTTTGTCGATTTTGCGTTTCCCCATTGTAATTCTGGTTTCAAGGTTTGCCCTCGAGCAACCCTCTGCGGAGATCGTGCGTGTCGAGTGCACGAACGTGTGGTGAAACGTACATTTTGTCTGAGCGCGGCTGGGCGCACCATTATAATTCTGGTCACAAGGATGTCGCCAATGTGCGGTCCGGACCGCATACTCATTGGGAAATGCGATTCCAAGGTCTGTGCCCGGTCTGTGCCCGGATCGTTCCCCCATTGTAATTCTGGTCGCAAGGATGTCGCGAATGTGCGCTGCGGACTTCATACTCATTGGGAAATGCGATTCCATAGTCTGTGCCCGGAGCGTTCCCCCATTGTAATTCTGGCTCGAAGGTGTTCCTGTGTCATCGCTCGGAGCGTAGTTACATTGTGTTTTGCAAGCTTTGGTTGCTAATCGCCTTATAGTTCTGGCTCGAAGGTGTTCCTGTGTCATCGTTTGGTGCGTAGTTACATGGTGTTTTACACGCTTTGGTTGCTATTCGCCTTATAGTTCTGGCTCGAAGGTGTTCCTGTGTCATCGTTCAGTGCGTAGTTACGTGGTGTTTTGCAATCTTTTGTTGCTAATCGCCTTATAATTGCTGCTGCAATGGTTTCCACCATGTCTGGTGTAAACCATGTCTGGTGTAAACGGTGTCTGGTGTAAACGCTGTCTGGTGTAAACTGTCTATGGTGTAAACTTTTTCTGGTGTAAACCTTTGTTGGCTTTGTCTGGTGTAAACGACGTCTGGTGTATACGGTGTCTGGTGTAAACGCTGTCTGGTGTAAACTGTCTCTGCTGTAAACTCTTTCTGGTGTAAACCTTTGTCGGTTTTGTCTGGTGTAAACCTCGTCTGCGGTAAGACCTTTTTGTCTGGTGTAAACGATGTCCGGTGTAAACGCTGTCTGGTGTAAACTGTCTCTGCTGTAAACTCTTTCTGGTGTAAACCTTTGTTGGCCTTGTCTGGTGTAAACGACGTCTGGTGTAAACCGTGTCTGGTGTATAGACGGTGTCTGGCGTAATCGATGTCTGGTGTAAACTCTTCTCTGGTGTAAACCTTTGTCGGCTTTGTCTGGTGTAAACTTTTCCATGGTTACTTCGTCTGGCGTAAACAACGTGTGGTGTAAACCGTGCCTGGCGACATGCACCATCATCATCATTATCATCATCATCATCATCATCACCTTCATCATCATCAGCATCATCATCATCATCATCATCCTTATCATCCACATATATATCATCTCTTCATATATCATCATATATCATCATCATCCTTAATGTTTTGAATCATCATATATCATCTCTTCATTTCTTTAGTGCTCATTCATCTTCTGTTACTTCGCTTTTCTTCCCTTCTATTTGTTCTCTTCCGCCTACTTGCTTTCGGGCCACCCTGTCGTCTAGTTTTTTAGATTGGAAGGGTTTTGGCGTCACAGGCATCAACTATAAAGCTTTTATCGCAATTTATGCTTTTTTATTAATAAAATCAATAAAAAACACAGGAAAACCAAACAAGAACAAACATAAACAAACCGCAGCCAAGCATTTCTGGTCACCGCGCACTTCACAGTGCCTGCCATCGCTCCCCACTTTGAGTGGGGCATCACCCTTGGTTACACTTTTTGTATAACAATGGTAGTATAAGGACACTTGAGGGTCAACCCTCGAGGCACGGAGGGCGGTGCCGGACATTCTTCCCAACTCAGTGGACGATCAAGATCATCAACCAAAGCTTGACGATGAGGCTCGATAAGTTGCAGTAGTTGTTCCCAAGCTTGAAATGCATGATTGTACATGGCGAGCCACAAATTCTGAGAGCCGGTGGTGATGACATGGCGCCAGAATGGGGTGGTCCACACATGTTGCTGAGGACCAGGGCTGAGGCGAAGTTCCGGAAAGCCACCAACCAGGTAGAGGATGTTGCCATTCTCTTGGTACTGCGCGACTCCCAACGAATGTTCCAGATCGGGTCTTGTGGTGGTGTGACAGGTTGCTCAGATCGAGATTGGTGGGAGGGACGAGCCAGGTTTGCTCGGTCATCAGGTAGTGCCAGGGGGCGTCGTGGAAACAAGGAAATGGAGAGGTCCTGGTTCTCGTGGGTGATGGGTGTGTCAGTGGGTTCGGAAGTCGTGTTTTCCCGGTAGAAGTGTGGGTGGTTGTGATGGAGGTAGTGAGGCCGGAGAGGTGGGAGGGTGTGGGGGTTGGTTGGATGGGTCAAACCTCGGAAGTAGAAATGGAAGGGGTTGAAAAACCGGTGGAATTGGGATTGCAGTAGAAATTGCTGTTGGGCGGGGTGGACAACGAAGTTCTTCAGCGTCAGCATTGGAGAGGGTGACGGTCGCGTCTAGTGGGAGCGTGTCGACGATCTGAATCATGCTGTCGACGATCGGAATCATGTTGTCAACGTTCATGTGGTCAACGGTCACGGGAGTCTCGGGGACGATCACGTTCCCGAGTTGATTGTCGCACGCGACTGCGGTCGCAAGCTTGAGAATGAGAGCGACGGTCACGATGGCTTCCATGGGAACGGGGGTGTGGTGAGTCCCGCGAGCGATGTTCACGTCCGCGATTGTCGTGTACATCACGTCCATCGCGTCCATCCCGTCCAGGTGGAGCACATTGTCGATGGTCCCGGGAGGAGGTTGGTCGATCACTGTGTGGGTGTGTGCGAGGGCGTGGCGAGAGATGCCGACGTGGTTGAGGGGGTTGCTCGAGGTGGTCGTGTTTGTGGGGGTGGAAAGCGGTGGGAGGCGACTGGGATTGAGCTGTGTGAAGGTGGTGTGGGTGGGAAGGCGGGACGGGGGCGTGTGTGCGCGAAACGGTGCTCTCAACAGTTGCTTGAGTGCCACCTCAAGCCTGCAGCTCTTTTTTGTCAAGTTGCCAGTGTTGGCACCATTGGAACATGACTCATGTTGACTTTATTCTGAGGCAGCTAGGCGCCAACAATCCAACTCAGCTAGCCACAACCTCCCCAGCAAGAGTGCTGTTCAGTCATGTAGCTTGTCCGGGCAGCCCGGCAATGGGAAAGGGGCATGCGCTGCCACAGACACACAGAAGGAAACGAATCAAAGTCAAAAGAAGGAAACGAGGCAAGAAGACAAAGCCCGAGTTGGTGGGGCCTTGTCCACCAGCAGAACACTGATGTTGGCAATGTAGACAGGTCCAAATGAACGGTTCAGGCACCGGAAGCGTTTCATTTCCAGTAAGAACCGCTCGGGAAGCTCCACAAGAGTTTTTTGGGACTGTGTAGATTTGGGGGGCTTTAGCCAAGCTTGTACCTTGGTGGACTTGCCACTCCGAGCATCTGAGGACGCCCGCCGAGGGCGAAGCCACTCTGAGACTGCACTACCTTTTGTCGGGGCCTTGCTGGCCCTGCTGCTATCAGCTTCAGGAGGGCTGAACAGGAACTAGCAGACGAACCGGCGGGGGCTTGCTTGGTTCCACCTCGAAAAAAGGAGTTACATTCTTCATGTGAAGCGGTTCCCTCCGGGCCAAGTGCTTGCCATTTCAGCGGTTGGGTATCCTCATGGTGCAAACAACTGAAATGGTCGTCGAGTGGTCTTTCAATAAAAGGGCCAACGGCGTCTTAACACTTCTTTTGAAAGGTCGGATACGTCCAAAGAATTCCCATTCTCGATCCATGTACTTCCAAACCAAAATATCGGTTTCCAAAACGTCTGAACAGGCCTTGGCTAGCCGTGGATCCATTTGTTGGGTCTAGAGCAGGCTTCAAGATGCTGCTCAATGTTTTGAGGAAGCGATCCTCCCTCTGTGAGTTCCGTGCATTCAGAGTCCAGATACGAGTGATTTTCCCAGTTGCCATTTGTTTTCAGCTGAAGCACCGCTTTTGTGCGGAGTGTCAGACCAAACTTCGCGATCTTTTGTTTCACAGCTTCTTTTCCGATTCCATTGCGCATGGCTTGTTGAGCTGCGAGAGCCCGAAATCCACAGTCTCCTGCACCTCCCCAGTCTTCTACCCTGACCCCATCAGGGTTTTTTGCGGGCGGTCTTCTCATTGGTGAAGCAGGTTTTCCGTCGGAGGTTTTGACATGTTTTGGTTTCTGTGGGGTGGTAGGAGGCCCAGCAACCCTTTTAGCGCCCTCACCATGTTCGGTCATGGAGGCATCCGAAAGTC